CCACAACGCCCAGCTATTTTTTGGTTGCAGCCATCATTGTTTTGGCGGGCCTGGGCTGGATTCGAACCGGCCACCTTAGGTGTATGAGCCACAGGCGCTGAGCCAGAACTGATTTTTTTTGAGACAGAGTTTCACTTTGTCACTCTCGGTAGAGTGCCCTGGCATCACAGCTCACTACAACCTCAAATTCCTGGGCCCAAGTGATCTGCCTGCTTTAGCCTCCTAAGTAGCTGGGACTACAAGTGTGCTCCACTGATTTTTGTACTTTTTATAGAGATGGGGTTTTGCTCTTGCTCAGGCTGGTCTTGAACTCCTCACCTCCAGCAATCCTCCTGCCTCAGCCTCCCAAAGTGCTGGGGTTACAGGTATGAGCCACTGTGCCTGGCATGATACTATTAACATAAATTTGAAATGCATCATGCAATTCACGATAAACTCAGCATTTCCAGCTCCCTCACAATCTTCTCCTTTCAGGACAAACAGGAAAGTCATAGCAATAAGCCCCAAACCTCAATGGTGCAGACACAAGTCACACAGCTGTCCCCCTGCAGCTCTCTTGTCAGGAGAGTGCCAGGAGAATTAGAATCCCAGAAACTCGGGGCCAGAGGGCTCAACTCCAATGGTCTGACCCACCTGGCCCTGATGTTCGGGTCCCCAGTCACCTGTGGATCCCTGCTCTGGCATCCCGCAGCAGCATGCCCTCCCTATGACTAAAGACTGTTGATTCTGCCTTACATAGCTGGGCAGTCTGTGACCCAGGAAAAATTAAATCCTTTACCTCCTGACAGCCCTTCAAGTATTTGAAGAACAGCAACAAGTAGCACATAGCACATGACTTCACATCTCACCTTCTCCCTCTCCTTCTTCCCTCCCAAATGTGCTCTGACTGGCTTTGCCCTTCAAGGGTAGTGCTTGCTGGTAAACACAGAACTCCCTGGTTTTGCAGAGGATGCTTCTTACATAAAGTCCAAAAGTGCATGGTCTTCGTCACGTAGGTGATTGATATTAAACTGAAGGAAATTAAATTCTCAAAGTCTTTCCCTCTGAATTGAAGCCACATAGACCTTTTCCTATCAGCCTGTGTAAGTGTACACCTTCATTATGGGCTTTTTTGGACTAGAAAACTAGAAACTTATGCCAATTTTAGATCAGCTTGTTAGATTGTAACTAACTGCCATTGTCTGTTGGGAGTTTAGGAGCCTGACTCTGTCATCTTAATTCTGCCCCTCCATTTCCATGCAATCTGTGTCTGAAAGAGCATCTGCTATTCTGCCAACCAATGCCCAGAGCCGCCTGGGCCAGACTGAGTGGACAGACTCACAGCAGCTATGGATCCCTTCCTCTGTACAGACTCCATCCTGCTAATCAATTCCTTGTTGGTGATAGCAACCAGCCGGGGACCCTGCACCACAATGGCTCTGCACTCAGCCAGTAATGTCCATGCAGCTCCCTTCAATGTGCCCCCTCTGCAGCTCATGTCCAGCCTTGTTCCACCCCAGTTAATTCAGAACCTCCGGGGTGTTGCTGGGCATCAGGACTTAGAAGCTCCCCTGATGCTCGGCACTGCCCAGGTTGAGAACCCTACTGTGGTCTTAGAGAGAGCTGGCTTCAGTGCTGGCTCCATTTAGTCTTAAGCTGAATCATGTGATCCCTCTGGACCTTAGTGACCTGTCTGTACTGTGGTGAGGATGGTATCCCACAAGGTGGTTGTAAAGAATAAGTGAGAGTGAGTATAAAGCACCCAGCACAGTGTCTGGTATCAGAAGGCACCAAAATGGCTTCTGGCTGTGGTCAGAGCACAATGACATGGAAAAGCAGATCACAAAACAAGATGAAGTTAGTATGTTACGGTTCATTTGCTCCAGTGGCACGAAGGAGGGGGAAGAGTAAAAGCAGATCTATGTTTCATAGTCAACAATTCAATGATACTTTTCAATAAGTCCCTATTTCATTAAAAAACAAAACAAAACAAAACAAAAAACGATTCATTAGCCCAGGAATGATGGCTCACACCTGTAATCTTAACACCCTGGAAGGCTGAGGTGGGAGGATCACTTGGGATCAGGAGCTAATCTCCTAGAGATGGGCCTGAACAAGAGCAAGACTCCATCTCTACTAAAATTAGAAAAAATTAGCCCAGTGTGATAGTGCTCTCCTTAGAGTCCCAGCTACTTGGGAGGCTAAGGCAGGAGGATCTCTTGAGCCCAGGAATTTGAGGTTACTATGAGCTATGACACAACTGCACTTCAGCCCAGCAACAGAGACCCCAGTCACAAAAAAGAAAGACATATTTAGTTTTAGTTAAGTGTTTAAGGTGATAGATATGCTAATTACCTTGATGGGATTATTACTCATTGTCTACATCTATCAAAATATTACACTATAGCCCATAAATATGCATAATTATGTATTAATAAAAATGATTAAAAAAAGATTTTTAAAAGGTACAGATACCAAAAGTATAAAAATTAAAATTTGTTTTTAACAGAACACTTTCACTACACTTATGTCACAATGCTTCCTCAGTAACGTTTTGTTTGTTTGTTTGTTTTTGTTTTAGAGACAGAGTCTCACTTTATCGCCCTCGGTAGAGTGCCATAGCGTCACAGCTCA